CTCCTCTCCATTCCCCTGACCAACTTCATTAACATCTTAAATTTTAATCAAATCATGCCTCAATCTTCTAAATTGTAGGAAATACAACATTCCTGGTGAGATGATGCATTTTGGTAAAAGGGCAGAGAACATTTGAAATTGGAGCTGAAGTAGTCCATTTGGCTCCTCCAGCCTCAAAAAGGTCATAGCTGATCTACATAGGCTTCAATTTGAAAATGTCTTCTTTCAAAATTTGATCATGGAATGCCGGCATCACTGGCTGGTTCCAGTGACCTTTATGAAGATGGTGACCTGCCTTCTTGAACCACTGCAGTCCACAGGGTGTAAGTTGACTCGCAATGTTGTTAGCGAGGGATTTCAGGATTTCGATCCAACAACAGTGAAGGAACAGTGATATATTTCCAAGTCAGGACAGCGAGTGGCTTAGAGGGAATTCATGCCCAACAAAGAGTCTCAAAGATCTACAGCACAGATTACTATCCTCCAAGTACTTTATTAATACACCTTTTAGAGTGGACTTTAGCATTTTTCCCATAACCAGCATCATGCAAATTCCCTATTTTCTCTCTGCTTTCTTCTTAAATATTGGGGTTATGTTAGCTATGCTCAAATCTACAGGAACTCTTTCAGAGTCTGTACAGTTTTGGAAGATAATCACTAGTGGACCTGCTATTTCTTGGACCACTTCCTGAGGTACTCTGGGATGAAGGTTATCAATTTCTGGGGATTCATCTGCATTAATCCCATTATTTTACCCAATATCATTTTCCTACCAATACTAATTTCTTTCAATTCTACCTTCCCATTAGACACTGTGATTTCCCCTTATTTTGGGGATGTTATTTGTGTTCTCCTTTTTGAAGATATGAAGATGTATTTTAAATAAAAACTGAAAGAACTCCACTAACAGTCCCCATTAACAACTATTCACCCTACCAGCCTGATCATTAGCAACTCCTTCGTCTATCCAACTGTCTTTCTCTCTCTTTGGGTTCTATCCTATCGTTTACTCCCTACCCTACCCACCTCCCTATTTTCTCCACATAAACTGACGTTTTCCCAGCCACTATCAGTTCTGAGAAAGCGTCACTTGACCCGAAACGTTAACTCTGTTTTTCCCTTCACAGATGCTGACAGACTTGCTGAGCCTTTCCAGCAACTTTGTTTTTGTTGTTGAAGATGTATTTTGTTGGTCTACCATCACTTTGTACTCCATTTTTTAATTCCTCTGTTTCCAATTGTAGGAGAACCTGTGTTCATCTTTATTAACGTTTTACTATCAATCTTGATTTAAGAGTTTAATGATGATCATGAAAGCATTGATTGTCAGGCAAATCCCAGCTGGTTCACTAATGTCCTTTGCGGGAAAGAAACTGTCATCCTTACCTGGTCTGGCCTACATGTGACTCCAACCCAACAGCAATGCAGTTGACTCTTGACAGCCGTCTTAGCAATCATAGATGGGCAGTATATTCTGGCTTCGACAGCAATGTCTGCAACAAAAGAAAACCATTGATTTGTATGGTCTCTGCAAGCATACTCTCATACTCTATTTTCTGCCATTTAATCATTCCCTTTGTTAAATTCTAAACTGTTACCAATGTGGTGATTTATTTGACAAATTTAATACTAGCCATCATTTCCCTTTTTTGCCATGGTTTCACCATGTTTCCTGTATTGTTCTTATGCCAGACTGGGATGAATAACTTTTGTACATAGATCATGGCAAACATTTAAAGCGTGCATGGACAATCTCCCAAAACCCATTTCAATACTGATCCATGATTTATCACAGCTAGCTCACACCTCACATCACTCTAATTTTCTTTATTTAATGACAGGACTATAGTCTCAGAAAGAATGACATCACTCTCCACCTTAATGAGGTGGATGAAGTGCCGATGCTCAACTTTATTATCAATTATTCATAGACCATAAAATTCCATACAGTGTGGAAGCAGGCCCTTTCGCCCAACAAGTCCAAACCCACTCTCAGAACATCCCATCCAGACCCATCTCCCTCATCTACACCTTGCTGAACAATATGGGCAATTTAGCATGGCCAATCTACTTAGCCTTTGGATTGTGGGAGGAAACCAGAGTGCCCGGAGGAAACCCATGCAGACATGTGGAGAATGTGCAAACTCCGCACAGACAGTCGTCTAAGGGTGGAATTGAACCTAGGTTCCTGGCGCTGTGAAGCAACAGTGCTAACTACTAAGCCACCATCATGAAATTCCTTTCTCATTACTCAATACCCGGTTGCTTCCTCGTTGTATTAATTCATAAAACTGTTCCATATACGTGCTAAGAATGCCTCCTGTATCGTATTGCTACTAATTTGATTTGGTCAATTTATATATAGATTAAAGTCACCCATATTTACGGCCCTAACTTTATTACTTGCATCTCTACGTTCCATTCTAATACCTTTCCCAATTGTGCTCCTGTATTTTTGAGTCTATGTACAACCTTACTCTCATTTACCAACCATTAATGTTTCTAAGCTCAACTAACACTCTACAAAACCAAAGAAAAAACAGCAGATGCTGTAAATCAGAAACAAAAACAGAAATTGCTGGATAAGCTCAGCAGGTCTGCTGGCAGCATCTGTGGAGAGAAATAGGAGTTTACATTTCCATTCTGAGGAAGGGTCTCTCAATCTGAAACTTTAACTCTGATTTCTCTCCACAGATGCTGTCAGACCGGCTGAGCTTATCCAGCAATTTCTGTTTTTTTGTTTCATACATGTTCTACTTCACCACAGCCTATATCCTTGCTTACAATCACATTACTTGCCTGTCTTAATCAACAGTTCTAACCCACCTCCTTCACCTGTTTGCCTGCCCAGCCTATCCTCCTTGGACAACTCATTGATTCCAGGTATTAATCTCAAATCTTCCTCTGAAACACCTCCAATAAATTTGCAGAAGATGGCCAAAACCTGAACACTTTATTCAAGAGAGATAGCAAGTACTGCAGATGCTGGAGTCAGAGATAACAAAATGTGGAGCTGGAGGAACACAGCATGCCAGGCAGCAGAGGAGCAGAAAAGTTGATGTTTCGGGTTGGGACCCTTCTTCAGACCCGAATCATCAACTTTCCTGCTCCTCTGATGCTACCTGGCCTGCTGTGTTCCTCCAGCTCTACACCACTTTATTCAAGACGTGGTCTCACCTATTCTCTTTACAAATTAAGCAAATATCTTTACATTTATGTTCAATTCCTGTAATAATAAAGGATACAGCTTATTAGCTTTCTTGATTACAAAGAGATTTTGATCAATCGGATCAATGGGCTCAGGACTGGCAGATTGATGAAATAGGCTAAATTATTCGTTTCTGTGTTATAATGAATTTAAAACTGATTCCTGCAACCGTTGCTCATACTAAGAACACTTCAGTCTCTGAATCATTGGAGTAAACCTGCGCAGAACCCGAGGAAGGTCCAGACTCTCCTTCCTAAATTGTGGTGCCCACACATATCCTCCGGGGGTGCACTGCACACGATTTTGAATTTCTCGGAACCTATCCAGTGAAACTGATCTCAGAAATCTTTTCCCACAGACAAACATTTTACCTTGCACGGTGAAAGACCGACGACACTGAGATGCTGCTGAAAAGAGTGACTCTGTTAGACCTTGCTGTGATATCTGGTTGGAATTGATGATTTGGGAATCCTTCCCATTGAATGCCCTATAAAAAGAATGGACAGACAACAGACCTCCCTTCAATCCAGAAAACAACATTGTGGCTCCATCACGCCGACGGCGCATGCTCTGGTCACGTTGTTAGACCCGCCTTCCCGTGCACTGATTGGTTGGAGCACTAACCCCGCCCGTCACACGTTCCGAAGGAGGTTCGAATTCCAGTCCCGTCACTGTGTCTCCCCGATTGGTTGGAAGGATAACACCGCCCCTCCTTCCGTTCGAGGATGTTCTGGCAGCCCGCCCCTCGTCCTCAAACGATTGGAGGACAAGCAGTTCCGCTGCCATCCTCCAGTCCCGCCCCTTCCTTGCTATTGGTCGTGTGACGTCATCAAACCGGCGTGTAGCTATA